TTGTCAAGAGACTGACCCCATCGTGTGACTCAGCTCAGCAGCCTGCCTTAAACCAGCTGAGCCAAGGATGAGACAAGCACATCCTGCGGGGGAGAGCAGCACATTCAAGCTCTCTGTTCCCCACAGAAGACAGAAAGCCACAGGGACCCTGCAGCCCAGAACCGAGGCCACCTGGATCCCAATTCCTTTACTTCAGGAACCAGTCAGTCAGCAGGCCCATTCAATGGGGGTGCTAAGAATCCTGCAGGAGGCCTGAGTGACACCATTGGTGAAATGAGGTCAGCTGCCACGCACAAGGCAGGAGGCTTCATCCAACCCAAGGCACCTTATCAGAGCTAAGTCTGCCCATCTACTTCTGAAAAGCCCAATGGATGCACAGTCCTCCTCTGACACATGTGGGGGGTAGTCATGTGTGCAAGTTGACTCCGTGGGCACAGGTGGTAGGGAGAGTCCTGTTCACAGCTGTCTGGGTGTAGTCAAAGGTATCCCTTGACACCTGGTGGGCTTACAGCGCTGGACTGATGGTTACATCCAGGTGACACACTTGTGAATTAAAACGTGGTCCTGGGGTAAGTATACAGTAAAAAACAGACAATTTTGGTGCACACAAGAGCAAACTGGAAGAAAATATTTTTTAAATGATGATAGAAACATATATACAAATGACACAATGGATGGCTTGTGATAAAAGCTGTAAGGGCCCCCAATAAAAATGATTTAAACATACACACACACGCCCCCCCACAAAAAAACAAGCGCAAAACTGTTGGGCTACACATATTCCAGCAGATGTTGGCAAACCTTTTCTGTAAAGCAAATATTACTGCCCCTAACAGAGGTACCTAACAGTGGGCATCTGCTGCAGTCACTCAAAACACTGCTAGATGACCCCTGAACAGCTGTGTGCTGCTAAACTCTAATTGGCCCACGGGCTTCAGTCTATAATCCTCATGCTCCACACACTTTCCAGACTTTGTGCAGGGCAAAGCAAAATACGTGAGAATGTTTCACCGAAAGTCAGAATGTGGAAATTAACAAGTACGAGAAGGAAATGTTCTGAAATCGATGTAGTGACGATGGCAGGCTCTTCTTTATAATGACTGAATGATTCAATTTCCTGATATGTGACGTATATGCCAATAAAACTATTTTCTAAAAAGTCAGAATGCACAGAGGCAAGTTGCTGGGGCAGGTGCATGGAGCTACCAGGTGGAACGTGGATGATTGCATATATACTACTTACACTGAAAACCTGCTGCGTGGATCTGAGGTAAAGTACTGCTGCAAAAGCTTAGAAATCACCCTCGCTAGAGAAAAAGATCAAAATGTGAAGCTATCCTTCCAGCAGGCCTCTCCTGCATTGCAGTCGGAATACTTGGATGGTTTCTTTCTAGGCCTCCCTGAAGAACAAGGTATACCACATGTCCAACAGCAGAGCTGGCATGTTTGAGGGCCTCAAACCATGTGCCTAGTCAGTGTTATTCGAATATGGAGAGTAAAAAGACAGAAGGGTGGATGGGGAACGGTTTCCCAACAAAATTCTCACAGGACCGCCTTTTTGAGTCTTAAGGATGAGCAGGTACACTGTCACGACAGGGGCGGGGGGATTCTCGGTGCAACTTTTCTCAATGTGCTGGTTACCAAGAGTGAAAGGGAAAGTTAGTGGCCGGAGGGTAGACAAGTCTTAGGTGAATGTGAAGGCAGCATACAATAAGAGAAAGGTTGACCAAAAACGATGGAGACAAGAGAAGACACTGGGCAGTTTGTGAGAGTTAACGGCAGCAAAGGCAAATACAATTAAACACACAATCCTGCAATAGTGATTTCCAAGTAGTTACTTGGTTAAGAGATGTGGGCGGAACAGAAATGTGAGTGAAGGAGAGTGGCATGTGCCCTGGAGTACACGCAAATTGGATGGAGGGTATTTAGAAGTATATTTACCACTGAGGAACCCTGCTGGCACAGTGGGTTACACACTGGGCTGATACGCAGTCGTTCCTCAGGAATGAGATAAGGCTTTCTGCTCCGATAAAGATTTACAGTCTTGGCAACCAAGGGGGGCCACTTAGCCTGTCCCAGAGTCACGGGGAGTCGGAATAGGGTCAACGGCAGTGGGTGTTTAGTTCTGCTGCAAATAAACCCAGGAATGTGGTGAAGCACAGAGGGGCAACATTAGGGAAACCTATTCAACATACAAACAATGGGTAGGGAATGAATTGGGACTTGGGGGATCAGGATCAAAGTCATGAAGGACACTAAGGTCACGTGGCATAAAAGTTCACAAGGACAATGCAGTACTTCCTACACTTTGGTGAGTACTCATCTAAGGTGTATTAATCTCTCCTTGTCCAGAAGAAAGAAGAGTGATGAAAACGGAAAGCCCCATGAACACAATCAGTCCAATGGACCACACAGACATCAGTCCCCACAATTCTGAGACCAGAGGACTGACTCCACTACCAACTGCTCTGAACACGGTCACATTAGAAGGTCCTGGACAGAGTGGGAGAAAAATGTGGAGAACTCAAAAAATTGCATGAGATCAAGCTCACTGGTCAGACTGAGACTGGTGGGACCCCCCCCCCCCCCCCCCCCCCCACACACACACACACGACCCCGCCCCAAACACGGGCCCTTCACTCATCAGGTCTGGAACTGAACTCAGCCTGTGTTATGATGGTCAATAATTTAAGACCAAAGGAGCAGAATTTACCCAAGGATAGAGTTCAGAGGGTTAGAGGAGGAAGATGCAAACAGTACACACAGGAAGATGGTGGGAAGTAATGGTGCCTTGAAGGGGCTGCAATGGAAGAATGGAAACAAAGCATGTATGAACTGTTGAACGTAAACCTGGTGATCGACTCTGTAAATCTTCACCTAAGTCACAATAAATAAGTTATTGTTTTAAAGGAGCAAAAAGTAAAGGGGGAAATACTGTTATACACATGCTCCTGCAACAGTGGGAATCTATGAGTAGATGCTTGGTTAGACTTACAAACTGAACAGGTGTGGAAGGGAGAGGAGTAGACCCACAAATATATCTAGGTGACTGGGGCGGGGCCGCACAAGTATGAAACAGTAGCACTGGACAGCTCTTGCTACTCCCAAAAGAATGAGCAGCTGCATAGTCCTGAGGGGGTAATCCTCAGCACAACTTTCCTGGACTTTTTCTCACCGGTGCATTTTTCCATTTCTTCATTCTAAGTCCCTGGATTGTCCTGCGTCTTTTGAGAAAATCTATCACCACCACCACTTTGGAGTGGCACCCCCCAAAACAGTCTCCATAACTTTCTGCACTGACTACTTTCAATTTCACTGGCCTAGAATATCTTCTTTAGACTGGACTCCTTTTTTTTTCTTTTTGAAGGCCCCCTAAAAAGACTTAAGACAATGATACCAGGAGAGTAGGAGAGAGAAACCACGGGGGAAGGGAGGTAGCGGTTGGTATAAGATATGAAATTAATAGTAATAATTTATCATTTATCAAGAGGTCACAAGGGTGGGAGGGTAAAAACAGATACCAAGGGCTTGAATAGAATGTCAATGTTTAGAAAATAATGATGGCAACATATGTACAAATATGCTTGATACAACTGATATATGGAATGTTAAAAGAGCTGTAAGAGCCCCCAATAAAATGACCTTTTTTTTTTAAGAGCGGTAAGTGGAATGGTGGAGATGATGGCTAAAGATAGCCGTCTTTTGTGGGTGATCCCATGTGTTGCAGGGATAACTGCACAGCTCTGTGAGTACACTAAAAACCACTGAACTGTACACTTTCAATGGTTAAGTCTTATGGAATATGAATTCTATATAACAATAAAGATGTTTTTAAAAAAGACTAAGACAAGTGTTATTACTGGGAAAACTTTGTCTTCAGCCATTCACTGATCAGACATATTAAGTGTTTTGAATCAGAATCCTAGCAGCTGTACTTTTTTACTCACCTGAGTGTTTAGCCACTCAAAGTGTGCCTCTTGCCAGCCTCTCTGACCTAGTGGGCTGGCCTTATCCCTGGCAGAGCCCCCGGGACGCACCATTTACAGTCTGGGAAGATGTCCCCGGCACACGGTGGTGTCGCTCATGCAGACTGTGCACGTTCCGTCTGGGCCTTGGGCTTCAATTCCACAGCGAAAGTGAGAGTGTCTCTCCTCTTAAAAGCTGTGACACCACCCCACCACCCACATCCCCTTTACACAGTTATTTTCAGTCACTCATTTCCCAACAGAGCTGGATGTGAGCAGTGGCACCAGATCCACCTCACACCACGACAAAATATGCACAGCAGTCCTGATGAGAACACACCTGACCCAGCTTGAAAGTGATAGACAGCACAGCACAGCACAGCCTCAACTGTAGAGCAGGCCCTCTGCCCGAGGGGGTCCCCAGCCAGAAGAAAGCACAGGGCCTTGGGGAACAGGCGGCTCTGGTAGCAGAGGGGCATGGTGTGTACTTTGGGAGGACAAAGGAGAACAGAATCGAGGGAAAGCCTAAGAATAAGAACCTAGTATAATCCCACAGGCTGGTTAAGAGTCCCGGACCGTCCCTGGGGTAGCCAGAAAGGAAGCTTTTAAAAATAACATCACCCCAGTCACTCTAAATCCTTTCCATTCCCAACAAAAAGATGAAACTTAATCTTCACGAACAAAATTTAAAGCTAGAAAATAGACACAGATGGTGTTCTCAGACACTGGACCCCAGGGATCCAGGTCAGTGCCACCCTCAAGAATCAGTGAGCAAACCACCCAATGGGAAAGCAACATAGAGTGTCTTCTGGACACGCCCACAGCCACGGGTCCTGAGTGGGTCCAGAGAATAGCACTGGCACAGGTGGCAGAGACCCATGCTCTGCCATCTAGAAAACACAGTGATGGCCACTGGAACTCTCCTTGGGGAAGGAGACCAAGTCAGAGGTCTTCAAGGGCCATGGAGACCCACCCAGAAGATGGAATGAGAACAAGGACCCAGGGTGACTTTGAGCTGAGACAGAGCCTGGTTACCTTGAGGAGGGCTGGCGCTTTAAGGGGTGACCTTTTCTTCAACGATGGCACCCTCTGACCTTCATTGTGGGGCTCAATTTTAAAAGATAGATCTGGAAAAAAGAAAGTGACATTTGTTAGTATCCAGACACTAAGATGATTTTTCTTATCTCCCTACCCGCAGGCACAGACCTGGGCCGAGGGGAAGGGTGCCTGTGCAGTGGGGGGCGGGAGACACAATCTTTTTGCAAAGAGAACAGAGAATGACACAAAATCAATGACAGAGTCAAAAGCAGCAGCAGCAGCAGCAACAACAACAACAAACAAACAACCTCAGTCCCAGTTTACAAAACAGGAAGTAAAGACTATGGATGACTTAAGGATGAACCATGAGAGGCAATACCTTTGAGAATGGCTGGATTTACCACAAGACCCAGCCCTGAGGAGCCCAACGTGGTGCAAAGAGTGAGTGAGCTTGGCTGTGAACTGACGGGTTGGAGGCTTAAGTCTATGCAGAGGGTCCTTGGAAGGCCTGACAATCTATTATCGAAAAGTCAGCCACTGAAAACTCTACCGTGAGCTAGTTTACTTGGACACACATGGGATTGCTGTGAAACAGGAATCAAGTCGATGGCAACCTGTCAACTCTACCAGCAGGGGGAGGAGGTGGGTCAGTGCACCACAGGGCCCAGACCAAACTCCAAGTCCTAATCTGGCTCAGCTAACACAGGCACTGTGCCACCATTTAGGGAATCTGGGGCCCAGACATCAGGGTATAGCATTTAAATATTTATTATGAAGGCAGTAATGATACCCTAGTGACCACAGGACTGGCATCCACTCCTGGTAAGCTTTAGCTGAGAAAAGGGCATATAAGACACAAAGAAAGCACCATCTCTCACCCTGGGCTTCCCTACAGCACCTCTGTGAGCTGGCAGACTACCTAGAGCCAACCAGGGGGCTGTGTCCAAGTGCCTGGGCTGCAGCAGGCCAGCACTTCATCAACTAGGATTCTGTCACATGGTGAAATTTACTCCTTGCAAACTCCCCAGGGACACCCAACTCTCCACCACCATGTTCCTTGATGCTCCCAGTCCTCGGACTCCAGACTAGGCAGGACTGCCCTGGTACAGGCCCTTCTCTTGTGTCCCCAAACAATCCCCATGCCTTGTCCTATCTGAGCATCTGGGACCAAGAACCACACAGAAGAGTCCAAGCTGTCTGCCCCTAAACAGCCTGTTTAAAGCCCCACCACCCTACAAAAAGCTTAGCCCCTAAGGCCATGCAGGTATGCACACAACCGCCCACACTGGAGCAGTGTGCCCTCTGCTCCTTCCAAAAGCCTAACATTTAATGGGGAACAAATTGAGCACCTTGAGAAGGATGTCTAGAGGTGTGGGTGCAGAGTGCTTGGCACCCACAGGCCCCAAGTCTCATCGGGACCTAAGAAGAGATGTCAGGAGACAACGCATCCAAACCCAGCAGGGCGGGCAAGGCACCAAGTCATAAGCAGCAAGAAAACAAAGGGCTGCGGGTCCATATCTATCTATTTCTCTCTCGCTCTCTCTCTCACACATACACACACACACACACACACACACACACACACACACTTTATTTCGCAGAGGTCACAATCACTAAAAAGAAACCATTTTCACAAAGTATCTCACTGTGCTTAAACCCCAACATAGTCAAAATACTGCGTCAACATAGAAGTACCATAAATCAAGAGGCTTTACTTTTCTTGGGGCTGGGGAGGATGGGAGGACCAAATCTCTAAGTGGTTTCCCTGGGTGTTGCAAATAGTTAAGATGAAAGGCTGGGCAGCTTATTGAGCAGTTCTGCCCTGCACACATGGTCACCAGAGTCAGGATGGGCAGTGGGCAACAGTAAGAGACCACACATATAGCACATCACAGCTCGGCCATTATATTTTCATGAGAAATATTTGACTAGTGCTCAAATTTATTAATAAATTTAGTTCTACAAACCCATTATCGCTCTCCCCAACATATTTAAAGTCCTGCAGCAACTTACTTAATCATGAGATTGAAAACTAAGATAAATTAAAATTCAGAACAGCAAAACCACAATTCCCCCTTCTACCAGGAGGCACAGCCCCGCCCCTGAGTTTAGGGAGGTTAGCCCCACCACGCCCTCACCCCCACACCTCTGACACCATCCACTGTCCCAAATGAGCTTCAAATGGACTTGCTTTGTACAAAATGACATATTAAAATATTGAAAGAAAACGGGAACCTGATCGTGTGTGTGTGTGTGTGTGCGCGCGCGCGTGTGTGTGTGTGCGTCAGTTAGGCTATTCTTGGGGCCATCATGGGAAATCTCAACACGTGTCACAATAGTGGTCTATAGGTTTTACAGAGTACCCAGCGCCTACAGAGGTGCTTGCTCAGGTACATAGAGGTGATGCATCACATCTGCAACCTACTTTTAACGCATTTAGCAACAAACAAAAGCAAACAAAAAACCCAGTGTGCACTTATACAAGAATGAAATTAAAGTGAATAAGGGGTGGAGCCCTAACTTTAAAACTCCACCTAATTTACAACTGTAAGAAAATCAATTTTGAAGACAAATGGGTGCATAAGCAAATGTGG